TTTTGAGTATTTGCTTAAACATATTAAGCAAATTTCTTTTTAGCAAAGACGATGTTGATTTAAAAACGCGGGAAAAAAATGTTGATTATTTTCATGATATACTTACTCCATATACTAATTACAGCTATTTACTACAGATTTATTCATGCCAGAAAAAATAAGAAAAAAGTTGACACACGTTTTTTGGTAGGGGAATCCAGGTCATCCTTGCCAAAAGACAAGTTTTATACAGAGCAAGAGGTTTTTCAATACTTCTTCCATTTGAAGAAGAAACACCCAAAACAAAAAAAGTAGAATTATCCACTGTCCATTGACAAAAAACTTTGAAATCAGCTGCCTTAATCAAAAAAATTTGCTGCACTCTTTCAAAGTTAATTGCACCTTGGATGAAGGGTGGATTTCAGATTTTGCAATTACAAACAATCTAATAGGTACCAGACTATATACGTTTTTCTTTTATCTATATATTGTTACTTATTAGAGGAAAATATTAATATTGCTAATGTCTGCTGTTAAATAAATGAATTAACAGAAATAGATGTGTCGTAAAATATAAAGAAACCCTACGAATCACATTTTTTAGTATAAAGATAGAGAAGCTGATCCGAACCTAGAAACTGTTAATAAAAAAAAAAAAAGATAAGCAAGACAAACTTTATCAGAGATTGAAAAAAGAAGGAAATTTTTAACACAGATGAAAAGGATCTTTTGGACTGCACATGAGCTCGATACTCTGGTTACAATCATTAAAGCTGACAGGAAACGAAAGGATTAAGACAAGACTGAAGATATTGCATTTTTATTGGACCAATTAGGAGATAGAAAAACTAGAATAGGTGGAATCGACACAAAGTAGCTTTACTCTCTAAACAGGAGTTTATCCAAGTTTGAAATGAAATGAAATTTGCATGAAACCATGTCAGAGAGTGAATTCAGCTCAAATGGATCCGAGAAAGATGAAGATAATGATGGTATTCCATACCCAAATCCAGATTTATTTTAAAGAAAAAAGTCAAAAAAAACTAATAATGTTATACTTCCAAAAGATATTCTCAAGAGAACTGCTGATTGGGGTAGGAATAAGTCATAGGAAGCATGGTTCCATGGTTAATAGCATAATTGCTAAACCGGGTGGAAATACAGCTGAATTTAAATGTTCAACCTCTACAGCATTACGAGCAGCAGATAAGGTCATTCATGATGAATCAAAGAGGATCAAGGACGACTCGAGAAATTTCAGAAAAATCAAAAAGAACATTTTAGTTCAACTCCATTTTGATGGAAAAGTATGTCATGAATATGCAAATGGGAAAAAGTTGGAAAAAGATCGATTAGCAGTATTAATAAACGGTAACAAGGAAACACACCTGTTGGAAATTTCACCAATTTCTTCTGGAACTGGCAAAAATCAAAAAAATGTGATCAGAGATATCTTAAATAGCTTTAACTTTACAAAAAATATATTAGCTGTTACATTTGATACCACCAGAACCAACAAAAATAAAGCTGTAACTTTACTGTTAAATAAAGTCTTTCAGCTACCAGTTCTATCTAATGCATGCCTACATCATATCAATGAGCAACAAATAACACATTTCTGGATAAATTATCAAAGCAGCATTACTTCTAGACCAGATAATCTGCTGTTTAAAACTTTAAAATTAGCATGGAATGATCTTGACGCAGACAACCAGGTAGGGTTTTACATAATTAGCTACCATTTTGTAAAATATTATTTTTTCCTAATATTTTTTCTTCATTCGATTTTAAGCTCTTTTAATTTTATTTTACATTTTGAATAATAAGATTTTGAGAAGATTGACTATTCCAGAGAAAAAATGACTTGGTCATCAAAAGCATAAAAGTATAACTTTCTGCAGAAATATTATCACCAGTGGGTCTCTAAAAAAGGTAACCCTATAACTAGATATCTGAATTTGTAGTTATCTATTTAGTATGTACTATTATTTAGTAATTTATAATAGATTTTTCTAGTTAAATTTTAGTATTCTTTATCACACAAAAGTATAAATAAAAGAAAAAGTTTAAAAGTTTAAAAAGTTCAAAAGTATATATATATATATATATATATATATATATATAATATATATATATATATATATATATATATATATATATATATATATATATATATATCTGTAAATATATAAATATATTTTTTACCCAATCAAATAAAGCATATGGCTCAAAGAAGAAGAAATCCCATGATTTAAAATCATTATTAAATCAAAAGCTACCGAGTACATCAAAAGCTATTAACAGAAACAGCAAAAAACAACTCACTACTGTGTGTGCGGTGTGGCATGGGTGGGTTAATCAGAAGACTAGCTCCAATGCGTTTCTTGTCATATATGGGCATGTAAAGTCTGCTTTTGTATCGGCATGTGCTCAGAATGTGCTTAATTCTACAAAGTATAATAAAGCTTAAACTTATTTTACATTGGTGAAATCGCTCCATATAAGTGTGTAATACATATCGTTGTTCATAACTTGATGTAATTTTTTTTTTTGAATTTTTAAACGCAGTCAAACTAAAAATAGTTTATTTAATACTATTCAGTTAATGGTATATGGAAAAAGCGTATCAGGTTGAACAGACAACATTAAAGCAGCAAAACTGGCGAAATCGCCCCGGTCTACCCTATATTTTACGTAAAGTGTTTAATCGTTGACATTTTGTTAGCATTAGCCGAAGACTTTTTTTATTGTTATGTAAATGTTTCTTTTAATGTGCAAATAAAAAGATCAGATGCACATAAAAGACGATAAAACAGATTAATTTTTTTTTTTTTTTTTTTTGCAGTTGCATTTATTTTTCAAATTTTTACAATAGATCATTAAACCTTTATTGGTAGAGCTTACAGGCTCTTCGTACCCGATGAAAAAGTTTATAATTCAATGACTTCAATAACTTCGGTCATGGATAGAGATCTTATGAGGTGTTCAAGTCAAGGATATAGGTATACATATCTTTGACTTGAACACTTATTAACACTTTATAAGATGGGTTTAGGTCTGCATAAAGCGACGAACATTTATTATATTAATTATATTAGCTAAGATCGTAACGTATTGTTAAAAAAAAATAGCCTAGCTGTGTAACCACTTTTTTTGTTGATTGATCTAAGACAAGACCCAACTTTTTTAAAATCTAGCTTCAAAATCATCTTTGATCATTTAGAGTACATTTTTTTCTATTTTAGCTCATATATTTAAAATATGAAGTATGCATTCTAAAAATCTAATCCAAGCATGCAAAGTAGAAACTCTATGTCGGGTTTTATCTTCTAGAGTTCGTTTTTGAACTACTAAAATAAATTTTTTATCTTGATTGAAGATTTACCACAAGCTGAGAAGAATTGGTAAGAGCTTGTTTGCTGTGGAAATAATGATTCGAATTTTTCATCTATCATAGTTCAATATACAATAAGTTGTGCATCAACTTCCTTTACTATACTGTTCTCCTATTGATAATCAATAATGTTGTACTTTTAATAAAAGCAATTATAGATTCTGCAAAAACTTTTTTAACTATCATTAATGCAGTATTAAGTAGGTATAAAGTATTTTGTTCGTAAGAACACACCTTTAAACAAAATTGAGGACACCTACCAAATTATAACAAAAGTTATAATTAGGTAGGTAAACTCCTTATTCATAATAAAAGTAGTTAGAATAATAATAATGACCTAATTAAATAATTTTTTTTTGGCTAGTAAAATGAATTTCGAAATTTCGAAACTAGGCCTTTTCACTTTTCCTTTTTTTTAAAAATTTTTTTTATTTGGTCTACAAAACAGTAAATTATTTCCCATTTCAAAAACTTTAAATTATTTATTAAGATATATTTTCATTTAAAAACTGTAAATTATTTTATAAGACATTATTAATTTATTTTAATATCATCGTCAATTATCTAAACATATTTTTTTAAATTTAACCCTGCGGATTCTACCTAGCGTAGCAAGTAAGTTGTTTAAATGTCCTAAAATCTTGCTTATAATTCTCTTTGTGTAAATGTACTAAAATCTTGCTTATAATTTATTTTTTGATTTTATATAACCGTGAATAATAATAACTACATCAGCAAATAAAACTTAAGTCAATCACGTTGAAAGTTCTTTAGATCATGGAACTAGGTCGATGTTAGTTATGTTGATGGTTTTTTCAAACGTTTTATTAAAATAACTTCTAATATAAAGAAAAATTGACTAAATTAAAATGGTCCCTGAAGCCCTACGTAAAAGAAAGTTCGAGAAAGACAATTTATCTCGTATTTTATACCTAATATTGAAAAACAAAACTGACTCTTTAAAACTTGTAATCTCAGCCTGCTAGTTTAAACTCGGTAACTTTTTGTTTTCCAAAGTGTACAAAGCGTTTGATTACTTATACCAATGGCATTACCATAAAAATGGTAATGTTATTGGTTTAAGTACTGATGTTTGAGGGTTTTCTATGCACAATTGTATCGAATTTATACGGACAATTATCTGATTTACGTTTTTCTTTGTTAATATATTAATGAACTCTAACAGATTTACTGTACTGTATTTATTTTTTTTATAAATTTATTATTTTTATTTGTTAATATTTTATCATTTACTTTATGTATTTTAATACTACTGACTAATATCTTTTTCATGATCTTTCATGGAACCGAGTTTAGATAATGGGTCTTCAATTAAACAGCTTGATCTACTACCTTCTTTAAAAATGCATTAGACACTAGATACAAGACGTTTTTTTAAAAAATCATAATTTAAATATGTTTTTATAGAAATAAAAATCGCAAATGATTTCTTGCGTTTTTTTGTATCAAATTCGCAGAATGATTTTTTTTCTAAGAACTATAAGGAGGGAATGTATTCAACTTACGTAAACTATATTTATTGTTACGTTTATAAACACTGTTAAACAATTAGCGCATGCGCCAACCCAGTCTTTTATTAGATTTTACGCGTACGTAATTATAGATCTAGATTTTTACGCTCATGTGCGTATGCTAAATTACTAATAAGGAGATATTGCTAAAATTTTGATTGCGATATAGATGGTTTATATTTTTCTGCATAGTAATTCGTTTTGGATTTGTCACAATAATTTGTTTTATTTCCCTAAAAGATTTTAATTTGTATCTATATATCTAGTAATAGGGAGTTACTGGGCTGTTTAGCAGGAACTCCTTTCCCCTCCCCTTTTTACACTAAAAATAGCTATGGTTGAAACAAAATTAGATATGGATGATTTAAATAATGAACAAGAACTTGATAACAATCAGGTAAACTTTTTATGTTTAATTATATAATGTATACATTGAATTTGATTTCTATTTTACTACCCTTTTCTTAGATTGTGAAATAGAAAAGTCATTTAAGCATATAGTTTATTCCAGAATGTTTTTATTTTTGGTTTTGACATCAATCATTTGTCACATCAGTCTTGTTAATATATATTTTACATTCCTCCTGTCAAACGTTTATTCTAAGAACCTCATTAAAAAAATATTGGTATTCTGTTCCTAAACTAATGCACTTTTATTTATATTTTTATTTATCTTTAATATTTTAAAGATTTAAGTAATTCTCTAATTATTATTGCTATTTTATCGAGCAGTGATATTTTTTTAATAACTAAACATGTTGGTTTGGGCTAAAAGAGTTAATAAAGTTTAATGTTATTTTAACGAAAAAATGCTTCTAATTTTAAAGTTCATAATAAAACGTAAGTTTGTGCATAACATTTTTGTCTTAAATTTTTAAAATGTCCTAAAAGCAATAACTTTATGTTTTTTATTAAAAAAAAATTATGATCTTGTATAAGTCATTCTCCCCAGTGCTCCAAATGTTATTTTCTGAATTCAAATTTTGTTGCTGTTTAACTTCACTAAGTAAGAATTTGAATTTTCTAAGTAAATCATTTTTTAAAATAAAAATTAAATTAAAGACTGTATTAAAAATATGTTCCTAAATGACAATATCAAAAGTAAAGTAGTTCTTTTATAGTTTGTTACAACTTTTTGTGTAACAAAAAATGTTTTTAATTGAATAAATTTTTAAGAACAACCTCTCAAAGAAAGTTCAAAATATGCATATTTTATTTAATTTAAAAAAAATTTTAATTTTATGTTATTTTTACGTAAAATATAAACAATTCCATAATTATAAAAGTTTTGATCTTTTTAAATATCTTTGTAAATCTTGGCATAAAGATCGCAGAAAAAACCTACGCTTTTCTTAGCTCTGCAATTTCCCAGATTTAACTATTGTCATAATCAAACCCAGACATGTTTTGTTACTGCTGATTTAATAGCATATCTAATTTTGGTACCAGAAATTGTTTATTGCTTTTTCCTTAACTAAAGTATTATAAAGATAAAAAATTATATAGATGTTTTTGTTTCAAATGTAGTACTTAATACTTAAAAACTTTCTGTTTATTTTGGCTAGATCATTATTTAGGAAAATATGGTTGATTAAAAAATGATTGTACATCACAATATATTCAACATTAATTTTTATTTAGTAGTTGTATGATTAATTTGGTTACTAATAATTTTTCAGAGAAACAATATATTGATGTTAACTTACTTCAAAAAAATTTTTTTATTTAATTTGTACGAAACTTTTTCATATTTAAAATTTATATTAAGAATTATAAATGCCTTAATTTTTTTTGTTTCGAGTTTTAACATTTTACTTAAAAAATTTTTGAATGTAAAAAACTTAATGACAATATAGTTATATATAGCTGAAACAAATTTATTAACTTTGAACGTTGCCTGCGTCTAGTCTGTAGGCTAGTTGCTAAAATTAAAACGCCTATGGGTTGGTCGTCAATTTATTTGTAGATACTATATTTAGTTTAAATAAAAATAAATATATTTGATAAATTTAATACTAATACAAATTGCTTATGTTCGAAAAAGGAAAAAAGCGAGTCGACCAGTTATAATTCAATCACTAAGAATTTAGGCTTTTTAAAACGTCAGCATCTTATAGAGTATAATAATCCTAAAAAAGATTCTTGAGTCCTAAAAAAAAGTTAAATTTCATTTTAATAACAATAATTAAAGTAATAATAATAATAATGGTTTGAAAAAGTTAACAAACTTTTGTAAAACATTTTACATAAACACATCTTGAACTTTTTCATTAAATCATGTCTATCTTTTAAATGTTTTATGAAATTAAAAGTGTTTCAACTTTTTGTAATAAAGACTCTTCTACATCGTTTGCAAGTTGGCATATTTTTGTCTACTATATTACCTTGTCATCGACAGCAAGCAAGAAATACTTCCATATCTTGCTTTGGCACTCTTTCTTTTTGAATGCTGCTTGAAAGAATTTAATGAGTTCATGTTTTTATTAAGTGAAGTCTTCAGAATTTTAAAGTTGTGAAAAGAGTACTTTGTTGGGTATTTGTGATCAATAGTGGAAAATTGATTTTCAAAGTATTTTGGTAGAAAGTTACAATATTTTATGGATTCTCTGTACATATGTTAGGAACCAGGGGTATGTGATCACATCTAATCTTATGTGATTATGCCTTCATAAGACTTTAGTAAAACCATATATTTACATCCATATATAGATCAATAACAAATATACATCAATGTTAAATTCAAATTTTTGAAGCTGGTGATAAAGAAACATTCCAGTCAATCAAAATATAAATCAAAACTGTTTAAATATGCATACCTTTTTATTTATTTATTTATTTTTAATCTTGTCATTTAGGTGCCATACCTAGACCTAACGGTCTTGTCACAGAGCACTGCGGAAGTGCATTTAACAAGGAAGTTCACGCCAGAGTTTATTTCGAACCTTAATCTCCTGCTTCTAAAGCAAGTGCTCTAACCACTGTGCCGCAGCCTCTTTTTGTATAACATTGGTATACAAGGTGGTATAAACTTCTTTGTTAAATGCTTATCCAGGAGGGTCTTTGACAAGATTCATGTCTTTTTTTGACCAGAAAATTAAAAAAAAGTCCAAACTAAACCAAAATTTAACTAAAACTAAAACAAAAAAAAATTGACATTATTTTAACAGTCAATTAAAATTGTAAAAAATTTTCACAAGTTCATTTTCACAAGTTAACATTTCAAAATTGACCACTGTTTCTCAATTCTCAGTTAGATTTGTTTTGAGATCTTGCAAGAAAATTTATATAAAAAAGCTATATAAACTTTTAAACTGAGAAAATTTGTGCATAATTGAAGACAATAAAACTTATTGCAAAAGTTACTCTTCACAATTGGTAGGTTGCCAATATTTTTATTATTCAAAAGGTAGATATGCCAAGAAATTCAAGTATATTCAAACTGAGAAACTTGCTCCCAAATTCCATGCAAGCTATCTGCTGTTGTGCTTTGAAAAGTAAACCATATATTACTCGAAAAACTTTAGATAAAAGACTTGAAGAAAAAATGGATAGCAGATTTAAAAATAGTCAAAAAGAAAGATTCAGCTGGTGATATCAAGTACTCCCAAAATATTCAGTTTCTATCTGAGTGTCCAATAAAAATTGTAAAAAATTATTAAAATAAATAATTCAATTAATTTAATTGTGTCAAAAAATTACTAAAGTCTGCTGAACAGTTTTTAAATAATTAACAATTAAAGGGTGCTGAATTTCATAGTGTTCTGAATTTTATTGTGTTTAGATAAGCAATAGATAATGCTTACCAAAACTTTCATTTGATGCACTAAAGCCCCCACAGGTGCCTATATCAGTATCATCTCGTCATTAGTATTTCATGTGCAGTGTGTGCAGATCAAACAGTTTATATAAGCTGATCTGAAACAGTTGGAGTTTTTCAATTATTTTTTACTGAACTTTTTATTGAATCAATATAATATTATTCAGGTATTATTTAACTATAATGCTATATTTTAGGATGTTCAATTATCAAAAGAGATATATTCAAAGCATCCACTTCAAAATACGTGGGCTTTATGGTTTTATAAAAATGAAAAAAGTAAATCTTGGGAAGCAAACCAGCGTGTTGTCACAACATTTGAAACAGTCGAAGACTTCTGGGCCATATATAATCATATTCAACTAGCTAGTAAATTAACTCTTGGTTGTGATTATGCTCTTTTTAAGGTATGTACCATATTTAAAAGTTTTTGTATGAAGCTTATATTTTTCATATTTTTCAAATTGTTCCTTTCCATAGTATAATTTTTAAATTAAGTTTTTAATTAATTTTTTTTTGTAGTTCTGTACATATCTATGCAATAAATAACCAGTATAGTTGAATGCATATCTATGTAAAAGCATTATAACAGAGGTGTACACTTGATGTTTAGATGTTTGAGTTTTAATTAGAGACTTTGTGCAAACTCTAAACTTTGTATGTTCAAGCTTATGACAAATGAGAATGTTTTGCAAAAAGTTGCACATTTTTTCCTATTTTTTGGGGCTTATTAACAAAAAAAACCCTTATTTTTGGGCCCACCCAGCCCTTAATGTGGGAGCAATGAGTTTTTAAAATATTTTCTTTACTCTTTTAAATTTATTATCTTTACTCTTTTAAATTTATATTCATCAACAAATGCTATGCTATAATCTCTTGGTGTTCAGTTTTTATGACCCTGCAAAGTTTACAGCCCCCTCAAGGGGAGTTATAACTTTATATGTTCATAATTTTCAAAAAAATAAAAAACTATTGCACCAAATTTGAAATTCATTGATGAATATAAATTTAGATAAAAATAGTAGAAAAAATATTTTATAAACTTGTTTTTCCCAGATTATGGGGTGGTTGGGCCCAAAGATAAGGGTTTTTTGCTTCCAAGCTCTGATCATCGGAATTCTTTGCTAAACATTCTCATTTGACATTATCATGAACATTCAAAAGTTTGGAGTTTGTGCAATGCCTGTAAGTGTCAAAACTCAAACTTCTAAAAAACCATTGTATACCTCTGTGTACTTATATTTATATATGTTCTAATGTGATATCAGTATATCATTCTTCGTTAGTTTTCTATATTTTTCTTTTTTCTTTTTATTTTATAGGAGGGTATTAAACCAATGTGGGAGGATGCAAGAAACAGAATGGGTGGAAGGTGGCTTGTTAGTTTAAATAGAAATCAACGAACAACTGATCTTGATAGATTATGGTTAGAAACAGTAAGTAGTTATTTATATTCAAATAATATATTATTTTTTTATTATTAAATTGGTTCAGCAAACTGAACTTATGCAAACATTTAATTGAACTTTAATATATTTTTATACAAATTTGTCTACTTCTCTGTTTTATTGTAGGCCTAAAAGTCAGCATAATATAGGCCGCAATCTACAGACTTGATAATTTATTCAAGCGCGTTTTATTCGTAAGAGTTTCAGTAGATGACTTCATTGATTTTTTTTGTTTGCGTAAGAGATCGATTATGTAAACAAGGCCTACAATAAAACAGAGAAGGCAAGCTTCGACTAAAATAAAAAAGTTAGTTTTTCTTGGTATTCATTTATTCTTTTGTTTTAATCAAAAAAACTTAGCCCAAACTTTTTTTTTTTATCATCCTCTTTAATATGAACAAATGTCTCGAGGTTTGGGATCCCTTTAAGTTCAATTTGTATTGAATTTGTATTTTGCGATATAAAATTTGTATTATGCGGTAGTGGTGTAGTGGTAGAGTGCTCGCTTCATAAACGAGTGGTTCCGAGTTCGATCCCCACCACGTCCCTGGTAGTACCGCGCTCAACTTGTTTCTCTGAGCAGCGGCCTTGTTCGTCAAGGTTCGTGTTTCAGAGTTATAGAGTTGAGAGAGGGTTATAGCAACAAAATAAGTAGCCTCCTCGTCTGTAGTGGCCTTCTCAGCCTTGAGGAAGTGAAGTATAATAAAAAAAAAAAAAGAAAAAAGAATAGTGTGAATCTACTAAAACTTTTTTTTTTCTGAATAAATTATTTTCTGAATTCGTTCTTATAGTTATAAATTATATATATTTAAAGATATTTTGTAAAAAAATTTTGGAATGAATTTGATTATTTTTGAAATCATAAAGTTTTATATTTATATTAAAGCTGTTATGTTTAATTGGAGAAGCTTTTGGTGACGATTCTGATCAAGTTTGTGGAGCAGTTGTTAATATTAGAATTAAAGGTGATAAACTGGCTATGTGGACTTCTCTAGCTGAAAATGTAGATTCCGTACTTAAAATAGGGTAATTTTCTTTTATTATAAGATAATAAGGGTGCAAGGAGAAAGCAGTGTTATCATAGTTTCTTTTTTTTTAGAAAACAAAGAAAACAAGTTTAAACACTTAGTTTAAAATTTTAGTTTTTAGTTTAAACTTAAAAACTATAAAATAAGTTTCATATTAATAATTTTTCATACCTATTAGAGCGGAAGCAAAAGATAAATAAAAATATCAGGAAATGTGATTTAAAGTTTTTTTCTTACACCCTTCGTACTGATTAGTATATCTTATATTGCAGGCCTAATGAAACATAAATGATAATGCTAAAAGTACTGATTAGTATTAGTTTATTATATTCATTTATTATAATAGTATTAGATTGGTATTAGATTGGTATTATATAATACTTGATATTTCTTATTTTTTTCTCTTTTTTATTATCATATAAAGTCTATTTCTTGTGTGAATTATTTTTTCCATAAATAAGATATAGCTCATAATGCTAGTTTGCAATATTCAAAACATAAGAATGATGACATGTAAAAAATAGATTTAATAATAGCTAAATTCATTAATGCATAATAATCTTTTTGTAATAATATGTCACTATTTCTATTTGAACACTAAATTAGCTGACATTAGTCAAAAAAGGGTAAATTTAGTTTTGTTATTATTATTTTTTTTTTGGGTGTAAAAATATTGTTCCGTTTTTTCTTGTTTTCTCTACTATTATTTTGTTTATTACTCTTAATTTATCCATTTCTTAGCCACAAACATATGTAAATTTGGCAAACTTTTTGTTGTTTTTAGTTAAAGCTGTTTTAAACTTCGGTGAATACTTTTTTTCAAAATAATATACTAACAAAAAATTTAAAAATTTGTTTCAAGCACAAAACTATTTTATTATTCTGCGTTTGGTATTCAACCTCAGGTTCAAACTTGTATAAATGCTTAATTTCTACAAGTTTAATTTTTACAAGTTAATTAAGTTTTAATTTAATTTACAATACACCTCTGTTGGCATAAACAAAGAATTTAGACAATAGACAATAGAGATGAGGTTGAAAGCATCAAACAGGTTTTGTATATAAAATCATACTGATTGTTGTTGATGTTGACTGATATGGCATGTAAAATAATCAATCAGATATTGTAAGTGAAAATCTTATACAAGTGTTGTTGGCCAAAGTATCAATTAGTTGTGGTCGTTAAAAGGTATCAATTAATTGTTGTTGTTAAAACGTATCAATTAGTTGCTGTCATTAAAAAGTATCGATTAGTTGTTGTCGGTGAAAAGTATCGATTAGTTGTTGTTGAAAAGTATCAATTAGTTGTGGTCGTTAAAAGGTATCAATTAGTTGTGGTCGTTAAAAAGTATCAATTAGTTGTGGTCGTTAAAAAGTATCAATTAGTTGTTGTTGAAAAGTATCAATTAGTTGTTGTCGATGAAAAGTATCAACTTTGTTGTTAAAAAGTATCAACTAGTTGTGGTATGCACTAGAGTAGCCTATATTTCATTACTCCATTATATGTTAAACTAAATTAATTTGTACCTATCTCATGAATTATTTGTTTAATCTTATCAAGTATAATTTTATTTTGTAATTCAGGCGCTGCTATAAAGAAAGATTAACTCTATCTCAAAAATATCTTATTACTTATGAGGTTTGTTTCCGCTTTGTACTTATTTAAAATTTTTAAATTAATAAGCAATATACAACTAGGAAACACAATCTGTGTGTTTGTTGTTTTTGTGTGTGTGTGTGTGTGTGTGTGTGTGTGTGTGTGTGTGTGTGTGTGTGTGTGTGTATCTCTGTTTATAAACATAAAATATAATTTGTTGTGGTTATATATATTTTTCGGCAATCATCAGCCATTATGTCTTGATTGCCGAAAGGCATGAAACTCAGAGTTCCATCAAAAGTTGTTTTAATTCATTTTATATAGATAATCATTTTCGAATGGAAAATGCCCCAAAATTATCCCTGTATGATAACTGCAATGAAAGGAGATCAGTATAGGACCAGAAAGAAAAATTGGAAGTGGTCAGACAGATTTTTTTGTCTAAGATCTGTTTCTTAGACAAAAAAATGTCTAAGAAACAGATCAAATGATAACAGATTAAATGAAAAAAATTAACTTCGCTCAAGAGATAATTTCAAAGTTTGTCTGTATTTTTAGTTGTAACATGTTATAAGCATAAAATATAGTAAAAGAAAAAATTGTGCATAAATACAAAAATGTTTATTCACGATTTTTTTGTTACTTTATATTTATACATTATTTAAAAAACACAGATATATATATATATATATATATATATATATATATATATATATATATATATATATATATATATATATATATATATATATATCTGTGTTTTTTAAATAATGTATAAATATAAAGTAACAAAAAAATCGTGAATAAACATTTTTGTATTTATGCACAATTTTTTCTTTTACTATATTTTATGCTTATAACATGTTACAACTAAAAATACAGACAAACTTTGAAATTATCTCTTGAGCGAAGTTAATTTTTTTCATTTAATCTGTTATCATTTGATCTGTTTCTTAGACATTTTTTTGTCTAAGAAACAGATCTTAGACAAAAAAATCTGTCTGACCACTTCCAATTTTTCTTTCTGGTCCTATACTGATCTCCTTTCATTGCAGTTATCATACAGGGATAATTTTGGGGCATTTTCCATTCGAAAATGATTAACAACAAACATTTTGTTCTTTTCTAGATGCAAATCTAGAAAAGCATACACTCGTTTACGGAGTGTCTCTTAGACATGTTTAATTAGGTTCTGAAAAAAAAGGACTATGGTATATTGTAGAGGAGTAAATTTGCAACATAGTAGGCATAATTGTTAATTTATAAAACATTGTTAGACATAAATTGAAGCTACAGCAAGTTTGTCCAGGTTTTTAGTTGTTACATGTTAATATTTTTTAAAACTAGAAAATACACTTTCTTAATACATAAAAATTTAAAGTTTTTCGCTGGATTAAAGGCACAAGCATAATCAGCCTGTTAAGTGTTACAATAATATTAGTGTGTGTGTCTATATTAGGGTTATGACTTTTCATCAATGCCATGCTCCTGTACTGTACTGTAGTTTGATGAACTTTTACCTAAAAAGCACGAAATGAACTATTATTTGCATATCTTTTCAAAAAGTTCACCCCGCCATTAAAAAATCGATTTTTACATAAGTACTACCATGCATTTAAATGTATTTAGAATGTCATATTCATGTAATACAATAAATTTTCAATCCAACAATGACTCAGACTGTTGACCTGCTCTTGTACAGAAGGAATCGAAGGTGCAATTTTTATTTTTGCATGATGAATAAATTTCCTCAATTACTTTGATTGCACGCTCTGTGCATTGATTACTTCTGGGTATCTGTAGTATGGATGGCTCTTGCTTCCAGTGATTTTTCAAAGAGCTTAAAGCTTTTTTATATGGGTTCAGTATTTCAGTCAAGTTATTAATGTCGTTTTCGTTGTATAATTGGTCTGTATACCAATGGTCTGCCCAGCCATACGAAACAAATTGACTTACTCTCTGCAGCTGTCCTTGTTGAAGGAATTAAAATGAAGGCCAGGATTGCTAGCATAGCTCTGGAGTTCCTCCTCGCATTGCTGATGTTGGGTATTTTCTGAAACCTGGTCAATGGAAAATGTCCCTTTTCCTCAAGAAATAGGAACACTAGAGTGAGATGAAACAAAATCATCTGTATTTAATTCCATAGGTGAAATTCATCAAGGACTTTAACCAATAGTTAAAGCCCTGCCACCTCCCAAGCCATGGGCAGCCAATTTTATTTCTCTTCTTTTATATTTAAGGGCAATCACTTGAGAATCCATTCTGTCGGTATGCTTGCCATCAAAGTATAAGGATCAACTTTCCATATGCAACTTTTCAATCATTTCATCCTTCAGCTTGATTGCCTCTTTGATTGTTGACTTGTAAATAGCTGATTGACATGGAGTTAAGTCAAATGTCAATGCCTTCACGAGCCAATTGCTTGCATATGTTAGAAAACCCATTAGAAAGTTTGTCTTTTAGAAGGATGGATTGTTTCTTTACTGGCTGCTTGACCTGTAGAGTATCCCAACTGTTCCTTTGCTTTCCTTTTGGAGATGGTACAATCCCTTGTCCTCGGAAGATAAACATGTTCCATCCACTTTAGTGATATCAAAATTTTCATCAAGGGGTTCGTAGCTTTCCCGCTTGACACATTGATCATAAAATTTCAGTATTTTATCAAGATTTGCTCGTATAACTTGATCAGATACATGAGGAAAATTTAGTTTATTCTTCCACAATTTGGTAAATTTTTTGGAAATTTCCGCTATTCGCTCTTTTTTTCCTTTGATTTTTGGTCCAAGGAAATGGTAGCGTCCGATAATTTGCTTTTGGAGAAGCGTTCTGCACTATTCTTTCAGTGAATATTCTTCCAAAGGGACCAATCTTTTATGAGAGTCTTCAAATTTAACCAGATTATTCCTTGTTCTTCTGAATACTATTATCGCTAGGCTTGTACGACGCCATGTGTTGCTTCTGTAATAACTATAAAATTAGATGAGCAGCTATATATAGTCAAAAATGTTCTAGAATGTTCTAAATTGTTCTAGAATGTTTCAAAATATTTTAAATTGTTCTAGAATGTTCTAAAGTCTTCTAAAATATTCTGTTATTTTCCAAAATGTTCTAAAGTTCTAAACACTTCTAATCTATACAAGTTTTAAGCGATTTGCAGGAAAGCCACACGTATTAGTAGTAACAAGATTAAATAAATGACGAAACGTAATTTGAATTGCGGGGTGACCTTTTTTTACAACCGAAAGGAATTGAACATGTCTTCAATGTTTTCTTATAAAAGTTCATCGATTCATGACACAGGAAATAATTAAAAAAAAAAAAAAAGTCAAAACCCTAGTCTACATATATATATATATATATATATATATATATATATATATATATATATATATATATATATATATATATATATATATATATATATATATATATATATATATATATATATATAAAATTTTTTTTTGTTTAGCAACACATTGATACAGCGACAAAAACTGGATCACAATCAAAAAATAAATTTACCTTGTAGATTGTTATAAAATTGTAGACACTTTTACGTAATCGAATTAACAATTGCGAAATATTTAGAAATAATAAGGCTTCGAGTCATAATGTCGCATCCGAAGTTCTTTTTTTAGTAAAAATGGAAATTGTGTTGAAATCTTAGTTGATTTAAGTTGAGAAACTCTTTACAGAAAATTTATTTTTTATTGTTCATAGTTTTATTTTTGTCTTACTACAGTTAAGATATAGAGAAGTACACGAAAATGTCTCCGTTTCTAACAAATAGTATCAGTAGCGGTATTTATTTTCCATACGTCATCTACAATTAATTTTACTTATAAAAACAGTTATTTTAAATTAAATTTATAGCCATGGAACAGAGTTTTTGTGTTGCCTTTACAAGCATTTTTGTGTGGTAAAAGTTTAAAATATGCAATTATTATAAAATTGTTTGTTTATAAAGAATTGAACTATATAGGAAATGTTTAATAGATTTATTCCCTTATTTGTTTACCGTTACTTGGATGGAAAGTGTTTTTCCTTGTTGTTTTTTTAAGTTATTCCCAATGACATCTCACAATTAATAATAACAACTTAAAAAAAATAACATAGTTGTGAAATAATGCTGACTTATTGTAACTTTTTTTATTTTTTAACTCAACCATATCAATAAAAATTTATAAATCTCATCGTAAATTAATAGAATTTGGTTAGGTGTCACTCATATATTTACGAACTAGTCAATGGAGTGACACCTAAAAAACATAAAATTCTCGAAAAAATAAAGAAATAAAAAAAGAAGAAACGAAAAGCAAAAAAATAATAATAAATGTAAATATATATAAATAAGAGAGAAAAAAAAAAGTTAGTTAAACTAATAATGATATACATAATAATTATAGTAATAATACAAAATAATAACAATAATAATAAAGTATCAATAATATTAAGAATATTTATAATACAATATAAATTGTATAGATAATTATCAAATATTAGAATAACATTAAAAGTAGCAATAATAACACGATAATAAATAAATACAATATAGATAATAAATAAAGCAAAAATCAAGCTGCTCGCTTCTTAAAGAAATTATATAATAAAGACAACTACAGTACAGAGATAAATTATAAAGAAATACACTCTAACAATATATTTTTAAATTGAATTCTGTTGAGCAGTAAATAATACGTAACAAGAGGATATAATTTTTTAGACTTTAATTAATGCAGGAATACACTGGTTCCAATCGGAATTACATTGTTGTTTTATGGAAAACTTACCATATTTAATTGTGTTAAAAATATAAGAGTATAGCTTACTATTTTCTGTATTCCTGGTGTGATAATTATGAATTTCATTTGTTTTAATAAAAAAGTTTAGTAGTTTATTTTGGAGAAAGTCAAACACAAAAAGACAATTGTAAAACTTTACAAGATCAAGGAGTTGTAGGATTTTTTAGTTCAGAATTTTTTTTTTTTGGATATCAGATCTCATTGGCAAAAACGTCATTATTATAATAGATGCGCGTTGTAAACTAGCAATGCCATTGCTAAATGTTTCTTTTTTGACCACAAACAATACAACAACAGCGAAGGTGAGAAGAGAATAAAGAAAAATAAATCATTCAAAGAGTTTGGATAGGAACATAGTAACAAATTAGAGAAAGCATACTGTTAGCTCATGTCAGTTTTTTTTAAGATGATACAGTTGATTATACCAAGATAGATTTTCATCAAGATATATTCCAAGGTACTTTATATATTTTGACGGGAAAAGTTTTTTCCGTTAATTTTAATTTTAATAGTACCAATAGTTTTTCGAGGGGAATGAAAATTAATGTATTCAGTTTTATTGACATTCAAGGGAACACGATTACTATTTAACCAGTTACATAAGCGATGAAGATCTTGATTAACTTTTTTGCTAAGAGTTGTAAGTGATTTGTATATATATAAAAGAATAATATCATCAGCATAATGATGTACCATAGAATTTTTTAATGAACAAGATAAATCATTTAAGTATAATAAAAACAAGAACGGAACCTTGTGTAACGCCATATTTTCCATTAATTGAAACAAACTGATTGCGATCCTTAATATATGAAGAAAACCAATGATTAGTAATACCACGTATTCCATAGTAGTTTAACTTTTTTATTAGAATGTTGTGATCAACCTTATCAAAAGCTTTTTGAAGATCTATGAATACACCACAAGCAAAGAAACCACTGTCAATTGCACCACCAATCATTTCAGTAATGCTAATAAGAGCATGAGAAGTGGAGTGATTTGAGCGAAACCCAAACTGTCGAATAAGAAAACAACCAGAGTTATTCAAAAAGTTGTAAATACGAGAATAGATAAGTTTTTCTAAAAGTTTGCTGACATTTGGTAATAATGAAATTCTGTCTGTAGTTATTACATTCAAGTTTTGAGTCTTTTTTATGAATTGGAATAATAGAAGCAGTTTTTAAAATATTAGGGAATACACCGGTGATGAATGACAGATTAAAGTTCAGAAAGTACATGAGAGATATTATTTCCAAGAGTTTTAAAAATAGGTATTGGAATGCTATTAGGTCCCGAAGTTTTGCTGTCATTAAGAGAATGAATAATAGAAATACTTCGTTTTTGTCTGTAGGTTTTATGAATATTGGTTCAAGATTAGGATTTTTAAGATATTTATTAAAGTCAGTATTGGATGAGTGAATCTTTTTCTGTAATTCTTCCGGAACTGAAACAAAGAATGAATTAAAAGCTTCCGAAATTTTAATGGGGTCGTATATCATGGATTTTTAAGATATTTATTAAAGTCAGTATTGGATGAGTGAATCTTTTTCTGTAATTCTTCCGGAACTGAAACAAAGAATGAATTAAAAGCTTCCGAAATTTTAATGGGGTCGTATATCATGGAGTTGTTAGAAGATAAGCAGGAAGGATATGAGTTACTAATGTACTCTCCAACTAATGTTTAAAAGATTCCTAATACTATCCCATGTAGATTTCAAATTTTTGGCATTATCAGAGAAGAACTTAGAGTAATGGTTCTTTTTACAACAACGGTTGAGAGTAACAAGTAAGTTTCTATATGTTTTATAAGATTTTTCTAGTTTGAGTTCGTTATTAGGATTCTTTACTTTAAGAAATCTATTAAATATTTTATCTTTTTTAATTGAATTTGAGATTCCTCATGTTATTCAAGGTTTGAAACTCCTTGATAAGCAGCGATTGCTGACTTTTTTTAATGGTGCATGTTTATCTAAAAGAGAATTAAAATTTGTGAAAAAATCTTCAAATAACTTATTAGTCTTACCTTCATTGACGTTTATTACAGCTTATTTTTTAAAAATCACTACATGATTCTTCGTAATTTATTTCTTTTAAATTCCGACAAAAAATGCAGCTTTTGCCAGGATTGGTTTTGGTTTTATAAAATAGATGTATTAAACATTGGGGTAAATGATCTGATACCGTAGAAGTAAAATTACCGGCAAAAATATTGGTAGAAGTTGCATTAGAAAATATGTTACCAATTAGAGTTTTGGACTTAGGAAGTGATTAATTGGATTTTTTTAAGATATTTTAAAAACACTGCTTAATTTTTATTAATAATGAGTATTGAAAACTAGTTTAACATATAATTTTAAAATAAAGCAATTATTTTTAACTAACGATATAATTTTATATCATGAAGTTTACTTCATGATATAAAATTATATCCCCATGTCCAAAACATAGCTTTGACATCCATGTCCAAAACATAGCTTTGACTTATACAGTAACGGACAACGAGGAAGCGAAAAAATTAAATTGTATTTACACGGATTTATAGTCTCAGTTCCGTTCCGCAAATTATCTCAAAATTGATTAGAAAAATAAACATTTCTAGAATTTGAGTAAAAATTTGAGAAGCAGAATATTGATATTACTTTGATAAAAAAAATTTTTTAACGCTAATTATCTTTCTTAGTCGAACTTATCACTAACTTAAGTTCGAAATATTTATCTTACTAAACGATTTTGTGATAATTTACGGAACAGAATTGAGACTATAAACCCGTTATACCCGTTAGCACGGATCCTTATAATGCCTACCTAGCTGTCCCAAGAACGCCACTTATACGGAAAGTTAGCGTACACATCAAGGTACCCTGTAATGTAAATTTTGAAATCATTTAGTTTTGTCCGCGGAAAATAATTTAATTTGAATGTTCAAATAAAGTCAAATTTTGACTTCATAGTGCGCCAATAAAAACACTTATAGAATTTGAACCACTCAATATAACTTGATAAAAACTGATGCAAATGTAGCCAATAGTCACACCAAACTCTGGACAAAACTTTAGTCTGATTGGATGACTGGTGTAGGATTTACTACACCAGTCATCCAATCAGATTTGCTACTTAAAGCGTGATTTGAATTGGTTTATGCCAATGGTATTGACACGGCCTTCAAAGTGTAGGGGGTCAACCCCTCGATTTCTAAAGTAAAATCCATAATTTCTAAAATAATTGCCTATATTTCTAAAACAAAAGGTCCTCGCAAAAAAAAAGTAGGCAGGCCATGGCTCCCTTGACGGCAATGTATGCATAGCATGATATATCAACATTTCCTAAGATATAAACTACTGCCAGAATGCAAAAAATTTTAAAAATATGGTTAAGAAAGATTTCTAGGGATGCCTACATAGAAAATAAAAATATTTATTTATCTGAAAACAGAACAACTGTGAAAAAAACAAATATTTTATATGTTGACAAAGATAATTGACTTAAAAATTTTAGATGAGTTAACTAAGATATCTAACCAATACAAAGTTTGGAGGCCCAGTCGGAGGAAAATTACTCTAACTGAATAACTAATTAGGTTGAAGGGTTGTTTTGAAATAAAACAACCCGTGTGACAAGCATTATTAGTTTAATAAGTGTGACAATTATCAATAATGTAATTTACTTACAAGTGAATAGTTTAAACAACTGTTTCCTGGTAAGGAAAGAACTATTCAAGAATTATTTCCTTGTAATTTAATATTACCTTAATTAAATCAAGAAAATATTTCCTTTATTCTAACTATGTTAGGTGGATTGTTATCAAATATAAATTTAGGTCAAATTTTGTAAAAGGCAGAGTTTGATTTAGTAAAATTAAATTTATTGAATTGCCACGATGCCAAATCAAGCAAAGAATCATGATGAAAATTGAACGTTTATGTACTTGCTCTGTCTGAAAAAATGTTTAAGACAGCTCACTACTTTTCAAGCAGATTGAATATGCCAACTATACAAGACCAAAATCAATATCAATGATACTCGGGTACCAAAAGGGTTTTGCAAGTCGTGTAGAATTACTTAGCGCATGAAACAAGAGGGGAAAGAAGTTGCACTCCCTCCTTTGTTTGATTTTAAGTCAATACAAGTGAGACCTAAAATAAGAGGCACAATGTGTTGTTGCCTAATATGCTGAATTAGTTGTTCAAAAACATCCTCTTATAGAGCTAAACACTATTGAGTAAAAGG